TATTTTATTCTCTCCTATAAATGCCCTACCAGGAAAATGTTAAACATAGCTAATTCTCTATGGTGATGAATACTAATTAAATTTGTATACTACTTTATGTGTTCTACATACTGTCACATCTGTTATATTAACTATAAGTTACTAATAATCATGTTAGAACCAAACAAAAAGGAAGTTTTTCGGGAGAAGGAAAAAAGGAGGCAATGGGATTTATCTGAGCTATTAGGTTAAACCTGCTAGGTAAGCAGAAACTGTGCATGCGATAGAGTACATTCACTGCACTATTACACAACTACAGGCAGTCCCCGACTTACGACACATTAGAGCATTAGTTACGAAGAATTGCACTCAGGACCATTTTTTTTAATCTTATCATTAATGTTATAGCATGTAATTTGCTGATGTTATTATTCTTAGATGTTCACCTGAAGACACTCAATTTTATGATTTACTGTTCAAAACACTACCAGGTTTATAAAGATAATGATAATAAAAGGCAATAATAATGAAAACTTAGGGGAAAAAAAAGAGGTATTCGACTTACATTGGAACCAATTAAGGATGGAGCTGTCGTCGGAAACGAACCCGTCATAAGTCAGGGACTACCTGTATATACCGACTCTAGGCAAACTTCACCTACTAGAAGCTATGCTATTTATGGAAGTTGTGTGGGTTTTGTTTTGTTCTATTTTGTCTTGACTGAACTTATCTGTATAGGGGATACCACCTACCTGGCAGAATTGAGATATTAGAATTCATGTACATTTTAAGTGCCTAGCACAGTACATGAAAACAGTGAGGACTCAAATTTCTTTCCTCTGAAGCATAACTCTCCAAAAAAGTGTAAAATCTCAACAGCTATCTGTTTAAAAGAAACCTACTACAGTGAATACTTCCATGAAGAATCCCACAAAAGCAAATCACACACACCTTGTTTTATGTCATCTGGATCTGACATATACTCTTCCAGACAAAACTGCTCTAGTCAAGACCAATATAAACGACACGCAAAATAACATGAAAAACATCTTCTGGGAACAACATAATGAGTAAATGTGGCATATTATGATATACAAATGTAGCATTATTAGAGGAAGGTGCTGTATCTTGTCTGCTCTCATTACTGCTTTTCCTTTGGTTCATGTGAATATGAAATTTACCAAAGTGTGGGGATAAAATCTGACAACAATTTGCAAATAGAAGATCACTTTGTTTCTTGATTCTTATTATCTAATCACTGTAACAGAAGAGTGGAAGCTCACGCCGTCCTCAGACAGAAAGAGAAGACAATGAAATGGTTTGTTTCTTCCTACCCACATACTCCTGCCAAACCCTGACCTGATTTCTCCTCATTATGTCTATCATGTAGAGGTTCTGGGAAGAAGGAAGAATACAAAGTAAGGTTAGAGAATAGATTTACAAAATAGCATCCTAAAAGCAAAAGAAAATAAATCTTTTATATATCCTCCCCTGCAAATCAAGTAAAATTCTCCATGCCCTGCACTGTGCCCAATGTGCTACATGAACTCTTAATCTTCATAACAATTTTAGGTGATAGGTATTAGCATCATCTCACTTTATAGATGATGAAACTGAGGCTTAGAAAGATTGAGAAACCTGCCCAAGGTTGCACAGCTGATCAGCCAAGAGTCCTAACTCCAAACCCACACTATTTACCCACTACTACACTACTTATCACTGTAGTGTAGATGAAAGTCTTACTGGGTGTCAGACTGGCTTCACCCCTTGGGCAAATCACTTGACCTTGCCTAGCAGTTTCTCATCTGCAAATGAGGGCAAGGACAGCAGCCTGGCCTTCTCCACAGTATCTGAGTGATGCTGAAAGAGTTAATGTATGTGCACAAATACTGTAAAAACTACAAGACACTTTGTTAATTTAGGCCCAGGTCCATATATTTTTATCTTTACAAATGGTTTATGTGCCTAAAAATAAATTTAATAATAGTTAGATAATTCTTAACATTCCCAACCAATATACAAAATCAACCTCATAAAATAAATTCTATATAGGGATTTAAGAAGTTATACGAGTGAGCTTGATGTTCAAAAAGATATCCTGAGTACATGACAATGTTGATCCTATCCTTTTAGACCAGTGCTGTCCAACAGAACTTTCTGCAATGATGGAAATGTTCTAGATCTGCACTGTCCAATACAGTAGTCTCTAGCCACATTGGCTATTGAGCCCTTGAAATGAGGCTAGTGAGATGGGGGAACAGAATTCATTTCATTGCAATTCATTTAAATAGCCACATGGGGCTAGTGGCTACCACATTAGCATAGTTTTAGACAATTCTTCAAGGGAACCCTGAAAATGTACCATAATATTAACTTTAGAAGAAAAAAGTCACCCCAGGAGACCGTTCAAATGGATGTAGTTAAGAAACAATGTCACAATTAACTAAAGCAGATCAAGAGTGACTAAGTAGATAGTTAAAACAACCGGGAATCAATAAAGCCCATCTCCAATTGTTCCTCACTTGAAGTTGAATAATATAGCCAAACCATGACCAAAAAAAAAAAAAATTCACTATTAACTCCTTCAATATGTTTTTAAATAACAACTCAATTTGTTAAACATTATTTCTGCTCCCTGAAAAAGAAGGCATAGGTTAGCTTAGAATTAAGGGATATTTTTTCAAGTCAGTGACCTGCAGGAAATAAAAAATTAGGGGCCATAAGGAAGTAACTTAAAAGTGATGTTCGCAGACACAAGATATTCACTCAATTTTTTAAAAATGAAAATTCAAAACTAATACTTAACCATGTATTTGGAGTTCCTCCGTGGTGCAATAGTTTAACATGTTGGCTGTTAACCAAAATGTTGGCTGTTCGAACCCACCCAGATGCTCCTCAGAAAAACAGCCCTGGCAACGTACTCCCAAAAAATCAGCTGTTGAAAACCCCATGGAGCACAGTTCTACTCTGGCATACATGCAGACGCCGTAAGTCGGAACTGACTCAACAGCAGCTGGTTTTACCATGTGCTTCCATTCCATGTTTATCAGCTAGTTAAATCAGAGGAAGGAATCAAAAGGAAAAAGATGCCCAGAAAAGCATGAGTAAAGAAGAAAAGAGTATGAGGTCAAGTATACCAAAACGAGACAGCAGAGACGCAAGTAAGTTCTGGTTATTCAATCCAGCTGTTACCAGAGCTCTGAGCCTCAAAGGGTCATTACCTCTTGTCTTGGTATTTTAAAATGCTAGTTGATTACACCTCTGTTCCTTATTCAACTACTTTTTGTCCTTATCCCAGCGGCATAAAAGAGAGCTTATGTCCTGAATTGCAGTGGCTTTTTATCAGAGTTCTCCCCTGAGGGAACTATGAAATCAAACACTGAGATCGACTCCCCACCCTCTGGGAAAAAGTGAAGTGTCCAAAGTGACAATGTTGAATCCCTAGAGTATATGTGGTCCGCAGCTTCTTTTTCAGTCCTGCAAGCACTGGATCTTTCAGAGTACAAAGAGAGAGAGGAAAAAAGAGAGAGAGAATTGAGAAGTAGTAACACCCTCATGCAGAAAGGCATGAAAATACTTGACCTTAGAGTCAGACAGTGGTTAAGAGCTTGGCTGCTAACCAAACGGTTGGTAGTTCGAATCCCCCAGCCGCTCCTTGGAAACACTATGGGGCAGCTCTACTCTGTCCTATAGGGTCGCTATGAACCGGAATCGACTGGACAGCAACGGGTTTGGTTTCTTTTTTTTTCTTGACACTTTGCTCAGATGCAAACCAGACCTTGTGTTCTCCCTTTTGAAGTTCATTAACCACATTAGAAAAATATTATTTTGTAATTTCATACAGGAGTGATTTTTAAGGGTATTCAAATGCATAATTAAGTAACATTAAATAGCCCTAAGTGATCAAGGAAAATATCCAACAAATTGAACGTTTCAATATGTTCAACTGCAAAAAAAAAAGAAACAGGTTTTCCATCTTCACAGGCCCTTTCCCCGGCAAGTTCTCCACTCCTGGGCCCCGTACCCTGTAGCCCATTTGTTGTGCAATCGTTTTCGAACTCCACCCACTGATCTCCAGAACAAGTGTAATTCTTCCACTCCGGAGGAGGTCTCTATTTCCTGTATCCAAGGAGAGGCTGAAAACTTGACTTGGGTCAAGTAAGGCAAGGGGAACGGTCCAGCCTGTCTCCCAGATTAACAGACCAAAGGCCAGGGTCGAGGAGGAGCTCAAGCTTACATACAAACTACATACACACACATATTGTCGCTGTGTGCCGTCTAGTGGATTCTGACGCATAGTGACCCTACATACAACATATACAAAATACGTAATATTTTATATAATACAATTCACACGAAATAAATTTAAATGGGGGGGGGGAAAGGCTGGACTGGGAAGACAGGTGATCAGGCGATGCTGCTCCCAACGCTGCAGGACCGAGGCGCTCCGGCATCACTTCCCATCCGCGGCCCCACGTGCAGCTGAGCCCGGGACCCGCTGGCCACCCGCGCAGTGGCGGGGAACGCAGGGGGCGGGGGAAGGGGGCGCCGCGCAGCGCCGGCTCCCGCGCGGTTATCTTACTGCGCAACAGCCTCGCCAGCGCGCCCTGCGCACCTGCCCGAGGACAGGGGGGCGCGCCCGGGACCCCAGGCAGCCCCTCGACGGCGGCGCCCAGCGCGGGGCGCGCACGGACAGCGGGGGCTGGGAGATAACACCTGGCGCCGGGGCCCTGACCGCACGTGGCTGTCACACCTGGCGCGGCCCCCCCCGCAGCACCCCTGCGCCCGCAGACCTGGCTGCGCCCCCTGCCTGCCCTCCCCCTCCCGCCGCGCGCCCCCAGGCCCTAGCCGTCCCACCCCACCCCCACCTGCTCCCACGGTCGTCAGCCCCAGGAGGGAAGAGGGCCGGATGTTCGTCCCGTGGCTAAAGGTAACAGGGGAGAGTGAAGAGGTGGCCCCCGAAAAAGGGAGCCCGTGGATCTCCCCCGCCCGGCAGCAACCAGGGTGTTCCCCGGACTGACCTTCTGCCGCGGGCTGCGTCGCCGTCCGCCCCGTCCGGCCTCAGTCGCCTCCTCAGCGCCGCCGCCTCTTCCCCGCGCTGCCTCCTCTACCCGAGTCGCCATGAGGTGACGGCAACAGCTAAACAAGCAGCCCGACAAGAGGCACGGAACCGCAGGGCCTCCCGCCCCGCCCCCGAACCCCTGCAGCCAATCGCCGTGCACCAGGCTCCTCCCGTGACCGGAGGAGGTTGGGCCCCGAGGGAAGGGAGCGGAATGGGGGTGGGGAGCATTGACGCTTGGGCTGGGCTTCCGCAGGGCTGGAGGGCAGACAGAGGCCGCGCGAGTCTGCGCGGACGGGGAAAAGGGACTCTGGAACGCACTACAAGTCCCAGTAGGCTGTGCGGCCACGGCTCGCAACCCGGGATAGGGATTGGAGTGTAGTGCAGTGTTCTGGTGAGTGGAGCGTACCCACTTCGCTGCGTGTGCAGCCTACCTGGACTTGTAGTTTCGTGGGGCGGTGTCCCGATACCAAAAGGTACTCAACGTCCCGTAGAGGAGCCCTGGTAGCGCAGTGGTTAAGCGCTCAGCTGCTCACAGAAGAGTCAGCGGTTGGAGCCCACCAGCAGCTCCGTGGGAGAAAGATGTGGCAGTCTGCTTCTGTAAAGATTACAGCCTTGGAAACCCTGTGGGGTTTTCTGTAGGGTCACCGTGAGTCGGAATCCACTCGACGACAATGGATTTGGTTTTACTTTATCATCCTGTGGGAAAAGTTTAGAAGTAGTCCACTGTTTGGAAAGGAGCTGGCTCAGTGACAGGTTGTTGGGTTTTGGTTTTTGTTGTGTCATCAGATGGGGGCCTCACCTGCTGTTCTTCGGCATAGAGCCCAAATGATTTGGGGATAAGGGGAAGTACTTCGCGATTTTCAAGGGGGAGGTGTAATGGCTTTCACATTTGGAGGTTCCAGACTCAGACACCTGCCCGAGTCCTGTCCCTCCACCAGAGCATTCCCTGTACGTGTCCGGAGCTCCTGCCTTGTGGGGCCGCGTCCCGTTCACCCTGGCCAGCTCCCTGGCGGCTAGCACAGTTCTCTGCTCTTAGTTGGCGCCTAAAAAATGTTGAATGGATCCTGCTTTCTCCGCCAGGCGTTTCGTTACTTAGATTTTTCAATAAACTCGGTTTGCTGAATCGATTTCTTTTTCCCTTGATGTGATGGGGTGAGGGTGTTCCTCAGGAATATTCCCTATTTTCATTTAATGTAACCAGATCTCCAATGACCGAATTTCTGAAAGTTACAGACTCCCATGAAATCCTGACGTAGTATCTTAAATAATTCAATGTGAAAACTTGTGCAAAATCTCATGCTATTTCTTTTAAACGAGAGTTTAATACAAAACAGTGATGGCAGTCTGCAAAAATATGAAAGCATAAGCAAGAGTAAATTTTAATATTACCGAGATTCCATCCATTAATTTTCATTTTTTCTGTAAATTTGGGAAAAGTGCCATTATTTTGTTTGTCTGGCAGAACACCTCAGTCCAGCTTTGAAATTTCAAACCTAGAGCATAGTTTGCAGCATACATGGCAGTAGATGATGAACCCATACTCAGACTATGTAAAGACCAGAATGACACCTTCTTAAGGGCGAAAGTCCCAGCAAGGTATAGAATAAATCTGTCAGTAATGCTTCTCCTAACCCATCTAGGGAAATAAGTGTCGAAATCCACCGTAGTTAGTTAAATTATGGTGCAGTAGAATATTATGCAGCTACTAAAAATGATAAGCATTTTAAAATTGACCTAGAAAAACTTAGTGAGCTTTAAAAAAGAACGAAATTTCCATTTATGTAGAATTGCCTGTGAGTTTGTTTACAAAGAGACGTGCAGAAGGATATTCATCAAAATGTTAATGTTTTTCCCGGGATAGTGGGAATTCGGGGGTATTTTTACTTTAAGATGTTCTGTATTGTTTGAGTATGAATATGTATCAAACAAAAAAAATCATCTTCATTAAGAAAACAAAAGAATTATGCAAGTACCTCAAGTCTTAAGGGAAATGAAAAATATTTCGTGGTATTTATTCATAAACTTTCTCATTCTGCAAGAGATTTGGAGTGGCTTGTAAACATATACAGCATGCCATGATTTTAATACATATGTATATGCAGAAATAAGAATAAAAAGTGAAATAGGGTAGAAAATATAAGATGCAGTCATGGGTGACTTGAATCCATAAAGCACATGACTTAAGGTTTTGTACACAGCTGGAGGTGAGCCAACTTTTTTTTATTTTGAGCTTCTTGATAGCTGAGAAAGAGAGGAAAACACAATTTACAGAATGACTCACAGCATCACTAAATAAAAACAAACTGGTCGCTCAAGAGAAACGTAAGTATTACTGGTCCTGGGAGAAATAAGAATTTTAGAGGTCTGTTTCTTATAACATTTTTTAATGTAGGGTATGGTGAGTTTTAAGGAGCCCTGGTGGTGCAGTGGTTAAGTGCTCTGCTGCTAACCAAAAGGTCAGCAATTCAAACCTACCACGGGAGAAAGATGTGGCAGTCTGCTTCCATAAAGATTTGCAGCATTGATGCAGTGCAATGAATTACTTAATATGGCCCTTCCAGCCATAGTCTTTGTAACTCCCACCAAATGACTGGGTGGGACTATGCAAATGATGTGCTTATGTGTTGCGGCCCACTAAGGGAATTGATAACTTGCTAATAATGTAAATAAGGTGCACGGCACCATTGTGAGGGTGGGACCATGCAAATAAGGTGTATGGAACCCTAACGAGGGGATTGGTCAGTTTTGCTATCCTGCTAGGCTTAAAATGAGCCATCCCAGAGGCAGAAAGGGGGGACCTCACTACCACCACGAAAGAAGAGCTAGGAGTGGAGCGCAGCCTTTGAACCTGGGATCTCTATGCTGAGAAGCTCCTAGACCCAGGAGACAGAGAGAGAGAGGTATAACATCAGCAATGGCAAGAGATGGTGAGAAACAGCAGTAGCAGAAGCAGCAGAACCAGAGACCAGTGGGAGACAGCATGGTAGGCTTCCTGGCCCATGGAATAAAGTGGTTACAGTGGGTGTGCTGATCCACAGAGTGAGAGAGCTGAGAGCCTTCAGGCCAAGGCTTACTAGCAGAGTGGGGTGCCTCCAGGCACTTACCAGCAGAGCTTTGTAACACTTGCCCAAGCAGGGCAGAGCCTGGACCTGCCCAAGAGGCCCAAGGGGCCGAGGGCCAGAGAGAGGCCTGCCTGTGACACATCCTAAAAGAGGCTGTCCTGATCGAAGAACTGTATCCTGAGCATTCTCGAACCTGAACTGTAACCTGTTACTTCTCTAAGAACACGCTCGGCATTTCTCAAGCTGAAAGAACTAAAGAAAAAATTCAAGCCTCGAGTTATAATATTGAAGGATTCTACAAGGAAAATATTAAACGATGCAGGAAGCATCAAAAGAAGATGGAAGGAATACACAGAGTCACTGTACCAAAAAGAATTGGATGACGTTCAACCATTTCAGGAGGCAGCATATGATCAAGAACCGATGGTACTGAAGGAAGAGGTCCAAGCTTCACTGAAGGCACTGGCAAAAAACAAGGCTCCAGGAATTGGTGGAATACCAATTGAGATGTTTTAGCAAATGGATGCAGCACTGGGAGTGCTCACTCATCTATGCCAAGAAATTTGGAAGACAACTAACTGGCCCACCGACTGGAAGAGATCCATATTTGTACCCATTCCAAAGAAAGGAGATCCAACATAATGCGGAAACTATCAAACAATTATCATTAATATCACACACAATTAAAATTTTGCTGAAGATCATTCAACAGTGGTTACAGCAGTACATCGACAGGGAACTGCCAGAAATTTATGCCAGATTCAGAAGAGGATGTGGAACAAGGGATATCATTGCTGATGTCTGCTGGATGGTGGCTGCAAGCAGACAATACCAGAAAGATGGTTACCTGTGTTTTATTGACTATGCAAAGGCATTCGACTGTGTGGATCATAACAAATTATGGATAACATTGCAAAGAATGGGAA